TTCTGGCGTATAGAGTAGAGGTTCTGAATGGCTTTCTCCTTCCGATTTCGTTCGCCGTAGAGGAGTTCAAGGCGGTCAAGCAGCTTGAAAGGGTTTGGCGATTCTTCTTTAACTTGTATCTCGTAGTATGTTGTAACGTTGGTTTTCGCTGCCCCATCAAGACGCATGTAGACGTAGCGTAGCTGAGCTTTTAGGCTTCCAATAGCTTGCGCGTCTTCTTCGATCTTGCCCTCCATCTCTAGCTTCCATCCTCGCCATTGTGATTTGTTTCCACCAAACGTAGGCGGGTGGGGTAAGCTGTGCCGCGGCTTTGGGGTTATAGGCACAGATGTGTTCGAAGTCTCGGAGGTTGGCGTTGGATCAGTGGTGGCGTCTGTATTGTGACCAGGCGTTTGAGGTAGCTCGTGCGATGGTGCTTCCAGCCTCTCCATCCTAGTGCTCATGTCTTCAAGTCTCTGTAGTAGCGACTGTAACAGCTGGTTCGAATCGTTCGTCGTCATGTCAGTATCCCCGGGGGAGCTCATTATAGCGGTGCTTTGGTTGCTGCGTGTTCTGCGTGTTCTGCGTGTTCTGCGTATTCTGCGTATTCTGCGTATTCTGCGTATTCTGCGTGTTCTGCGTGTTCTGCGTGTTCTGCGTATTCTGCGTGTTCTTCTTGATCTTGACTGTATGTGAACGGTCTGTAGGGACTGTATTCCAGCTACCTAGTCCAGATGCTATTTACAGTCAAGATGAAGAAAGAAGGTAAGACGCAAGCGGCGAGCCTGCTTTGTTTGGGTTGGCGCACGGCCCTCACGTTGCCGGGGAAGCGACTAGGCTAGCAGCCTAGTCATGTGACTCGAGGCTCAGCCCGTTACAGTAAGCCTCTTCCTCTATAAATTTGGTGGTGCAAGACATACACTCGGGCTATGGCGACGGCAGTCGATCCGGGAAAACAACTTGATGCGCACAAGGAGGTTTGGCCTAGAAAATGTTAGCATTTGTCCGTGCCAGCAAACCAAAAACCAAAAATCGAAAGCTAAAACAGAACATTTAACTACTTACAAGCTTTATTATCTACAGCCTTGCAGTTGACCTTGTCAAACGCACAGTCCGCAACAATCAATTAAGTGGGTCCTAGAAGGTTCAGATTGGATTGATTGATTACCGCTTTAAGCCTAGTAGTTACCTATAGGAGTTTAAGCCCTACCTAGATAGGTAAGTGGGTCTAGGAGAGTGACCGGATTGAATTGATTGTTGCGGAGTCTAGTCAAACGGCAGGGGTTCATGGTCTCCTAGGCACCAAGTTTGGACATCGGCGATGGCGAGAGACACGAACAGTGTCGTAATGAGGATAGCTGACTTCATGGTGAATAATCACAAGGTCGGGAGGGCTTTGTGATGGATAGAGAGTAGATTGTAGAGTAGAATGATTGATGATACTCTGGTAAAGGGTAATGGGCAGCCTTAAATACTTGAGAAAGTACACATTGTCGCCCTCTCCCCTTACAGTACAAGGATATTGACTAACTCGTTCGACTGAATTGGCAAAGTGAAGACTTCCGTCTCGTCCCTACCGGCACCCCTTCTGCAAGAAGCACGGATCATGGTCTGAGTATCACAGGTTTCGTCTTGTCGAAACCTACCCACTTGTAGTGTTTTCGTATACCAGTCCGCAAATGCCACCCAGAGGGTGCACTAAGTGGCACCTACCCATTAATACCCAGAATAATCCTCGTAACCTTTATTTTTACTTCCAATGGAGTCCCTTTGCATGAGTCATCGCCGATAATATCGTCTGGTGTCTTTACGCCGCCTCGTTCGGCTCGTCGCGGACCAGTCGTCTGCTCTCGTGTCTCGGCGTCTGACGATGATCGGCGACCCCCTCGGCACTCCCGGCCTGTCATCCATTGCCTTGGTAATGCCCAGACCTATTAGTATACTCGCACGGATGGCGCTTTTACACTCGCTGACATGGGCGCTCTGACCTACACATGGTATAAATAAACCCCCACAGCTTACCCACCCCCTTTTGGTCATCTCGGGGGAGCATCCGTCCTTCTCGTACCCGATCCCGATCACCCTTACTCGATCTTTCCTGTCTTCAATTGCCTTGGTGATATCGAGACCGTCTCGTACATTCGTACGGACAGGATTGTTTCAGTTGCCGACATGGGCATTCTGTATGGCACAAATTAGCCCGCAACGATCTACTATACCAGCACCTTTTTTGGCAGCCTCGCGTAAACATCCGTCCTTCCCGCACCGACATCCCGCCAATTTTTCCCCTACATCGTCTGATTGTCTGCCCATTCTATCCCCGGATTATCCGGGTAGCTCAACAAGGCGATATTCACATCCGTTGTCCCCTCTCATCCTGATTGTATCGCTTGTATTCAGTTATCAAAAAGGTTGTGTAAAATCTCAGCTATTATCAGTCTATGTAGAGAAACCCAAGTATTGTAGACACAAACCGTGCAGTCTATCTACCACACCGCCATCGAATTGCTCGAAGGTGATACTCTGTAGTCCCGTGCATCTTAGGCACAGGCGCATAAAAATATGCATGGGATTTTTATAGCGTAAATAGAACGACAAGTCGGCGATCTTCCTGGGCAGCAAGCATCTCCCTGGTAAATCCGCTACCATTAAGCCACGCCTTGAACCACTTGGCTGTCAGCAGCCACATTGATGCTTACTCCGAATCTATCAAGGCCTGGTAGACCATGACTAGCTCTATGCACTTTCCACAAACTGCATCTTGATGATCCCTTGGTCTTAGTGTGCTGGGCTCTCCAGACGTTGACAGCGCACCAACCTTAGAAACATACCTCGATAGCGGCAGCGAGACTACTGTGTTGGCTATGAAGAAGCCTACGTATTGGACTCTTCGTTTGAGATACTTTGAAGGGCATAAATCTGTAATTCTAAAGATGGAAATCTCTCTACTGGGCGAGGTCTTGGTTTGACCGGGGGCCGCTGTGGTGCCGCAATTGCCGTTTCTTGCATAAAATCATTAAACCATAAACCACCTCACCCCGCAGGGTTTCGAACGACCAGGTCTTCACCGCTGCTCAGCATTCAGCTACTTTAAGCACTCTCATAACGGATAAAAGCCGTCAGTAAGGGGCAATACAGTTCTGAATCGACACCTCCTAACCACAGATTAATCGTATTGGCAACTGCAAAGTTCAATGCTTCCGAGAATTCTTCTGGAAATTCTGTAAAGAACTCTCGTAAACATCATTTAATCGATAATTTTCCAGTTAGTATGCCGAGGATGGTGTATCTTGGTACTGCAAAGACGATGAAAGATCTCCGCGCGTACACAAAAAAACTCCACCTCGGCTTCCCTTGTGCTCTGGGGTGATTAAATGACAACTATGCTTGCCATGCTGCCTTTCCAAATACAGAGTCAACCTTTGAGACATAGAAACCTCCTCTTGAAACCCGAAAAACCCAATCATGCTTGCCATTCCTACCGTAGCCAATCCACTTAATCTCGCATCGATCCGACCTAACCAGCTATACCACCCATCGAAGGGCTTGTACTTCACCGTTGACAATGCCGATTCCACCGACCCTCCAGTCCACAACACTAAGCCAGAACATGGTCTGAAATACGCAATTCCACCCTGAATACAACCGAACATCACGCGCAAACAGTTGCACATCTAGGTAACTTCATCCTACCTGCAAATAGCTAAACGGTACTTGAACTCTTGATTCTATGGATGCTGCCTATGATAACAACTCCCGTCTTCAAAGCGCCGTTTCCAAGATGCCAGAGTTGAAAGAAGGCTGCAACGGTAATGAGAAACTTTTCCGCTATGCTACAAGCCCTCTCATATCCATGTTCACATCACTGGATCCGCAAGACTGAGCCACTTTGAGCACTGCGTGTGTGAACAAGATGGGGGGTTCTTTTGTTTCCACCCTCTAATCATCCACTTGACAACCCATCACCAAATCTCACGCCTCAGTTCTTCCCGTACTCGCTGAGTACGTTCACGACATCTGCCCTACATCGCCAACTGGCGAGTCCTTGTTAGTATTCCGTACGAACGCGACGCGCTGCCCGGCATTATCGTCTGTCCATGTCAGTGGACATTCATGCACCATCACCTTCGACGGCGGCCACATCTACAACCGGGCCCTCGCCACAGCCAGCATCCAGTGAAAAAAGAACGTGGCATCTCAAATCTGGAATTTGCCCCAGTCACGCATGGAAAAGGGGGGTGGCTACATAGTGGCGTTATATTAAAGCTTCAGTGAAGGGCCGAGGAGGTTCAGTGTTAAAGCGGCGGGGCAGGATACAAGAAAGATATCTAGACGTACGCGGGTATGCCATTTTGTGATCCTTTGAGCCACGGGCGACTGCACATTATTGTAGGGATAAGTGAGTTTGCGGTAGATAAAGCTGCTGAGAGTGATGGGGTCGTTTCACAGACGAGTGTTGAAGGTTAGCGATGGTCACATGATCGTATGAGCATGAGGGGCATAGGTAATACCGGGTTCTTGCTTGGCTTCCCCTATCGGATACGATGGCTCTTTTAGACTTTACTGGGGTTCAAACACCAAAGTTTGTACAATTTCGTAAAGTGTGACACCCAAAAGTCCTTAAATAATTATATTGACGCAGCAAATTTGCGATTGAAGAGAACTCCTAGCCGTGAGCGTGAAAGGCTTTCGTCAGCGGGTATTGTTGGGAATCGAACCTGCGGTAGATAAGGCAGCTGGTTGCTGCATGCACGAGCTTGGATTACACGGCTGACTAAGCCGTGTGGTCCGAGCTCTAGCTGCTGCCTTACTGCCGACCTCCCTCCACCTCCATAGAACAAACAAGAACAATCACAATCATTTCAACTCGTTGCAACGAAGGTGATTCCGATACCTTAGCCGTATCAACAGGTATAGATAATAACTGGACTACTTGAGCCACACGCTTATTTCTCAGGGTGGGAGATTCTAGACAATTTTCTAGAACAAGTAGTCACGTAGCACAATCATTCAGCCATAAGTTTTGAAGTAAGGATATTCATTTCTCAATGTGGGGTGGGTATCACCGAATATAAAAATAATAGAAATATCTAAGGGTAGCCAAACAGCCAATCCCGAACAAACAACGATGCGTATACGTTTTTTCTTTCTCTAAATTTTCTTAGCCAGCCAGATCTTATGAGCCTGAACTGAACTTTGCCTGGTCTACAACAACGAGACCTGCAACTGACGCACTCGACAATGTGGAGAAGACTCCAGTGACCAAGGCCGAAAGAGCGAGTTTGGAAACATCACCACTGCGGGCAGGGCTGATTTGGCTGAGCACACCAATCTGGGTACCTAGCGAACCAATGTTTCCGAAACCGCAGAGGGCGTAGGTGGCGATGACGCGAGAGCGAGGGGATAGGGTGTGGTAGGGTGACTTTTCATCCTTGTCGACGAGTGCGGTAAAGGCAACGAATTCGTTGGTGATGACCTTGATTCCGATGAGACGGCCGACAAGAAGAAGGTCTTTGCCTTCGCGGGATACACCGAGGAGGAAGGCGACCGGGTAGAAGAGATAGCCGAGGATCAATTCCAGCGTCAAGTCATACTCGCCGTCGAGGTTGATGTAGTGGCCCCACCAGGTGAGGAGAGCGTCGACCAAGTTGAGAAGTGCAATGATGCACAAAAGCGTAGAAATGATCATACCGGCGATCTTGAGACCGAGCCAAGCACCGTTGGCAAAGGCGTGGAGCGCGTTGGAGGCCCTGTGCTCATCATCGTCGGGAACGACAACACGACCGGCAGTGAGTGTCTCCTCCTCTTCCGGGTAACGCAGCTTACTGAAAGCCAGAGAAGCAGGGATACTCATGACACAAGATGAGATCAAGGCCTGGGGGTTGAGTCCCATACCGATATAAGCGACCAAGACACTACCAGCAATGGTAGCAAATCCAGAGCACATGACTTGATGCATTTCAGCCATGGTGAGATGAGCAACGAATGGCCTGATCAACATGGCAGACTCTCCCTGACCGATAAAGGGAGAAGCAGAAGCGACGACAGCTTCAGCACCGGATACGCGCATCGACCAGAAGAAGAAGACGGCGAATTTGCCAATGAACCATTGGAGGATACCCCAGTAGTACAGGAGCTGGACGAAGGACACGAAGAAGATAATGGCCGGAATAACGCTGATGAAGAACCACGTCTTTGCGGCCACATCCTTATCTGTGAGGAAAGTGACACCATCTTCGGCGAAACCCAGAAGGAGACGGGCAAGCTCGGAGACGAAGTTGAAGATGTCGTATCCAACGCCAGTTCGAAGAACGAACAGAGCAACGATGAACTGGAGCAGCATACCGACAATGACAGTGTGCCAGATAATCTTGCTCCGGTTGCGGGAAGTTGCCCAGAAACCAAAGATGAAGACTGCTAGACCGAATAGCGAAACGGCACGGTTGACACGTGTGTTGTCTTCACTCTCGGCACTGGCGAATGATCCAATAATCATGACGGAAATGGTAAGGGCGGCACCTGCGGGGATTCGCAACTTCTCTGGGATGAGGTTTGCGAATCTTGTTCCAGTGTTGGCCCAGACCCAATGCATTGGCCTGGTAACAAGGGTTATTGGGACGTGGCAGGTGATCAGACGGATCATGATGGCGAGCCAGAGCAAGAACGGAATGACCCAGTTCTTGTCTTTGCGATGTACGACTACACTGGCAATCCACCATCTGATGACGTTAGTGAGAATTACTCGAGCTACGGGCATGTAGATGCGCCTTACCCGGTAAAGAGCATTCCGAGAAAGATGTGAACTGGCAGTCTAAACCGCCTGTAAAGAGAGCCAGTGGACCATTTTGATTTTTTCTCCGTCTCCCCCACCCCGGGATCGGAAGAGCTGCGGGTTGCCTTTTCAACTTCGGAGTCGTAGCCACCAGCCTTTTCAATGTCACGCTTCTCATCAATATGGCGATGAGGATGGTGGACTTGGTTGTCGAGAAGCTTGCTGGGCCTCTCTGCGGTAGTTCCAGTGGTGTAGACGATGTTGTCGGGGTGAACGGCATGCGCGCTGTGGTGCACGTGCGAGTGTTGGTGCTCGTGAGCGATGTCGAGGGCAGGATCGTCATTGCGCGCCACACCAGGCATAGGCGAAGCGTTGTGTCGGTCACGGAGGTCGGCCATGATGACGGACAGGCACGATCAGAATTCCCAGAAAGAGTTTGAACGAGGAGGAACTGTCGACCCTCTACCTGAGCCGGCCAGGACGGGAGTTATATTTTCGCACCGTGGCTCGCGCTACTACTAAAGTGGAGGGATTCGCACCGTCGATGGTCCAGCCAAAGAGGCATACGGGCCTCAGACGCACTTTCGCAACTGCCTCTTTGGAAATGGCTAAAGCGCGGTAGTACAGGGCTCCATTGGCTCCCGGCCGTCTCCGCTTTCTGGAATGTTTACCGTTGCATGCTATGGATCGCTTACGGGCTGCAAACCTACACCTGTCTGGTGTCAACTGCACCCATTGCCGGCGACAAGTTTCTGCGCTTCTGCACCACCCTACCAGGTTCTTATCTTTCCCCAGCATCGATATCATGCGCATTGGCGAATCACGGAGATGAACGTGCTGGGGCTGGTGAGTAGCCTGTGATAAGCGGCGGCGAATATGCGCCCCTCCTCGGTTGACGCCCTCTTTTCGGTATCGTGTGGCGCTTCCCAAGAAGCCTCTCTCCCGACCACCATCGTCTTCCCCGAGGTCTTCGATTCCGGAACGCTGGTTTCCATGCGGATATGCCCTGGAGGATGCACGCGGTGAATGGCCCAGCAACCGCAGCAAGCCGCCAGTAACAAACCCCAAGAAGCAAGACCATTTCTCTTTTTTGCGCGCCCTTGGTGGCTGCACGAGCAAGCATGTAGCGCAAGGAGACTGTGATATCAGCTCCTATCACTACGTTGCAATGCAACATGGACCAACGCCAACGTAAGATCTAGCACGCGCCCCCATCAGCAAATGTTCGAGTGACGTTTCTCAAAGTTATCTTTGCAACGGGTCTCGGCCAAAGCCATCATTCGATCCGATAACCAGGTATGCGCTAGCTGAGCGAACTAGAATGTCTCGCGCTTGCGTCGTGTCCTGCAGGATGATAGTAGCTGGGATTGTTATCACGAGTTTACGCATCGAGATACATGGACCGAAATGCTGCTGCGGAGTTCGCCTGCGTATACAGCATCAAACAGCCGCTGACTTGGCTGGCCAAGACCCCAAGGCCTCTCAATAGACATGCGGGAGCACCCCAACGAACTGTCCTCGAATGACCCGCAGGGTAGCCTTGCCGCTTAGCCTCGACCCTCCCCCGCAGCGGACCCAGCTGCATGCGGCAGCTCAGCGCATGTGGGTTGACAACAATAACCATCGCATACCTGACACGAACGCTCAAAAGTCCACCCAAAACCCGCTGGATAAGGTGCTCGATACTCGTCGCTTCCTATGCCATGTGGCACGGAGAATGTCACTCTATAGTATGTCGTCGGCATTACTACCAGAGTCGGCCCATTCATTCAACCTATCGCTTCGCCCCCGGTTACAATTTTCAGTACATAATACCGAAGCCTTGCATGGCGGGCTCCTGCAGCCGTCACGGGTGAACATGTCAGCAGAGACATAGACTTACCCCGGAGCCTCTCAACCTTCGATTACAGATTACGTTTTCTGGACTTTCGGCTACCATGATCACAGGTCCGGTGCATCGCCTTCATCTACTTTCTGTCGAGTCGGACAGCCCTTACCAACATTTCACTTTGACCAGACCTACTGTAGCCCGTTTCCCTAGCGAGTTTCGTGTTGGGTGTTGGGTAGAAGTTACCGAGCAACGTCGCAGAGACATGTGATATGCTCGTCGGCCGACCTACCGACACGACAACAGCCGCAAATTGGTGTCACCAACAAATCGCAGCTGCAACCAGTCAAACATTCAAGACTGTCAACACTGACTGCTGCCAGGCGTGTTCTTCACGCCACCAGCAATCATATTTACGCCTTTCTCTCTAAATCCACGTTTAGGACCCACGCCACACCCGTACCGCTGCCGCTCCCACCATCACCATGTATGCCAGCAGAAAAGACATCCACGTCTTTACCGTACATTACACATTTTCTTAGTTTGGCTCTGACAAACCTGTTCCGCTACATTACTGTACCGATAGCCATATACACGCAAACAGTACATACGCTCACCGCCACAACACCACACCATAAGATTACAAGAATCTGACGTGAGAGGGTCTCGTCATACAGTCTTACCACTCGCACCTGGAGATGGAGTAACACAACAAACGCCCAGTTCTGTTTTGTAACAGCTAAGTATGCTGTGACTGAGGTGCGTGCGCAAACATTTGGAGAATCTGACAAGATTAATACCGTGTTTTTACACGATTATGGAAGTATTCTGGCTATACAGTTTATTGAATAACTCTGTACCACCAACGTCTCAACGTATGGATCAGCACATGGTGGAGTGAAACCTATATGTTTGCTAACCAATATGAAGGATACCGAGAATAACAACCACGTACGCATCTAGACGTCATTCTTATAGATGTTCGCTCAAAGCTCGTGGACGCATTGAATACATACGACAGAGGGTATACACAATGCCCAGTAAAAAACCCAAACCCCACCCGGCCCCACAACACCCATACGCCATTCCCAATGCCGCTAAAAAGACAGAATGCGATGAGGATAAAGGCCAGCTACTTTTCATAATTTGGTCAAGAAAGCATAACATGATCAAGCGTACAAGCACAAAAACAGAGGCCGCCGCCGGCTTACTTGCCCGTCAACTCGCCTTCGAGATGCTGGATATATGTTAGCAAATTGCATCACCAAACTTCAGGTGAATGTCAAAACTTACCGACCACTCCGGTATATCACGTATACGCTGCCACATGTACCTCTCCAAGCGATTGGCCGACTTTGCATACCGCGTACTCTCATTGTTGTACTTGCGGCAGTTATCAAAGATGAGTTTTGCGTCTCTAATAAAGTCCTCTGGTGTGGGGTAGAGGTCCTTTTCGTGCTTTTCCTCCATGGTGGCGAGGTCCATGGGTTCTTTGATGACGTCGTAGTAATCGAGGACCTCGTCTTTGTTGACGGGTTGCTGGAACGGCCAGGCGTTGCTGTTGTTCTGCATGTCGTTGAGGAGGTGAAGGAGGGCGTTGTAGTTTGGACCGTGGCGTGGGGCACGAGCGAGTTCGTCCATGACAGGGGACCAGCCGGAGTTCTTGATGGCGGGGATTGTCAAGGGATCGATTTTGGTTATCTCGCCTTTTGCCCATTGCGCGGGCGGCGCGTGTACCTCGTAACTCTTACTCACGGCCATTATTTTCGCGTTTGCGCATTCTTTTTGCTTTAGTAGCATACGGCCTGACTCTAGATAGCGTATCTTCGGCACCATGCTACACTGCATGATAGTACCGCCCTCGTAGTCTTTGATGTAACCCATCCATTTCGACTTCTCCAATGTAATCTCCTTGGTGAAGCCCTGTTTCTTAAAATATCCAATAGCGTAGTTGTCGGCGTAGGTCAGAAAGTGCATGACCTGCGAAGAGGCTTTGACGTAGTCTTTCAGGTGCGACATGAGATGTGCGCCGTAGCCCTTGACTTGTTGGTCAGAGGAGATTGCACAGAAGACGATTTCAGCGAATTGGCCTTTGTCGAAAGGGCGGTAGGTTATGCCTCTGTGGTCAAGTATGTCAGCAGTCTGCAAGTAGTTGAGACGAATGGTACAACGTACCCTACCACCTCCAACGGGTGCTTTACAATGGCTATGCTCAGATGAGTTCGGTCGTAGACTAGGCGCGCAATATAGTCCTTTGGCATCTTGGGCAACTGCTTCTGAAAGATACATTTCAAACCCGTCAATATAATGGTGCTCTCCCTCCGCCCGTCATTGTTGACAACTCTAAACTCAATGACTCCCTCGCGCTCCTCGATTACAGCGGGCTTCTCGGGAAACGGGACTATCCGTTTGGCGGGGCGTGCGGGTGCCTCATCGGCGGCCGTGGGCGTGGAGGGACTCTGCTTTATGCGCTTGGGGGAGGCATTGGGAGGGTCGGTAGTTGCCTTGCGTTTAGCTTCAGGAGATGGCTGGTTAGCTTTCAGTTTGCTGAGAGGTATTTCCGGCGAAGAAGAGGGCAGACGTGGAGAAGGTCCGGGGCGTGGTGAAGTTGGGGGTGAGGTGGAATAGCCCAGCACGTCGCGCAGCAGCCGCATGTCGTTGCGGGGAGGCATGTCGGCTTTATGGCGACGATGCAGGACTATCGGCCGAGATGCAGTTGAAAGCTTGAATACGGGGACTTACTTACCATCATCATTTGCGCCTGCCATGTCGCAGTGTGCAGTGTGCAATGTGTAGTGTGCAGCGACTTCCTGTTGTGCAGTCGCGCCTTCTCTCAACCTCCGCGACGGGTGTTGACTGAATGTCGGTCATGTTGCGCCTCCCGCACTGACCGCCCCACTCGCCAATCACCGCGCCCATGGCTCGTTACGGCCAACCCGACAAAGGCCACCAAAGCAGCTTCACGCGATTCCACAGAGCATAAAAGTCAATTGTCCCACCTGCACACATGTCGAGCCCACTTCAAGACGTCTGGGAGGCTGCTGCCTCGTCGCCCTTCACCCCTACCATCGGAAAAGAGACGCAATTCAGCCTTGGCTTCTTGCTGCTCGCCATATGTATGTTTGAAGCTCTAATGCTGGAGTGGAGCTGAGCTATGCTAACTATGCCCGCAGCCCTCGTCTTGACCACCATCTTCGGCTTGAGTATGCGACACATGTACTCTAGTCGCGCAAACATATACTTACCCACACATAGACCGATCCGTCGTCAGCCTGCCCGTCCTTGGTGTTCCCGCCTCATTAGCATTCGGGTACGTGGCCTCCAAGATACTCCCGCCATCCATACTGACTACCACCAGCTTCGGCGCAGTCTACATGATTTGCGCAGTCGGCGTCTACGTCTAGTTTCGTTGCTTTATTCGGCCGGCGTTGGGGACATAATTGCGTGTACAATCTATCGAATTCCAATAAAAAGTTCAAGATTCCTCGCATCTACTTGCGCAATCTCTCCCCCTCCCTGAACCCACGTACATTCAAACACAACATAGCATCATGGACGACCAAGGCCCCCCTATACTCACGGCCGTGTCCAGCTCTGCGCGGCAATTGTTTTCGCTCCTCCGTTGCATCGCCTTCTCAAATAAAGCACACGTCCAAATCAGCGACATAGGCATCAAGCTCGCAGTTGACGAGGCGAGTATCATGGAAGGTATGTACACCCGCCCTCAGCCGTCCCAACCCCTCCAATTGACGACATCGCAGCATCCGCCTTCCTCGACAAGTCCCTCTTCACAACCTACACATTCAATCCGCCCGCCGTGCCAGAACCCTCGCAACACTCCGACAGTGACGACGACATCGACCCAGCACCCGCTGCAACACCATCCTTCCAAATATCCCTCCCAGCCCTCCTCGAAACCCTCCAAATCTTCGGCCTCACCGACCCCTCCACCTCCAAACCACCATGGGCGCGCGACGGCCCCTACCCCACCAGCACATCCTTCACAGGCAACAACATTCTGGGCGGCATGAACAATCTCTGTCGCATAAGCTACGACGGCCCCGGCGCTCCACTAGCAATAACACTCACAGAAGCGAGTATACGCACACAATGCGATCTCACAACCTACGAGCCAGAATACAGCGACGAAATACCTTTTGACCGCCAAGCCCTCGCCTTGAAAGTAATAATGCGCGGTAGCTGGCTCTATGATGCCGTGCAGGAACTCTCATCTACAAGTCCGGAGAAGCTGACCATGTATGCAAAAACCGTGCGTGGGAAACCTTTTTTCGCCCTCTCGTCATCAGGTACCTTGGGTTCTGCGCGCGTCGAATTCAACAATCAGCCCCAACACCCCTCTGCATTCCGCACCCCTGCTTCCACAAATGCACACGCAGGCGGCGAGGCGAATGAACCGCTCACAAATCTCCTGGAAACTTTTCAACTTAGCGATCCGGATACCGTGCTTCGGTCGTCTTACAAGTTTAGCTTAATTCAGAAGGCTGCTCGTGCTATGAGTGTGGCTACTAAAGTTAGTATACGCGCAGATACCCAAGGCGTGTTGAGTTTGCAATTTATGATTGATGTGGAGGGTGGGGGTTCAGACGGCAATGGTGGCAAGATTAGTTTTGTGGATTTTAGATTTGTCCCGCTTGTTGAAGACGACGATGATGATGAGGGCGAGAGAGGTGATGCGGATGAGACGATTATGCAGAATGGTATTGGTAGCGATGAGAGTGATGATGAGCTGTGATTAGCATCAAGCACATGCAGTCTCACTCATCACACACATAACAAGATCAATGCTCATATATCGACTGTGCATGTCTTCATATTTGCTACTCTCTTGCCCAGTACCCTCGATCAAATGAGAGAGAGGAGACTGAATCTGCCCATCTTAACTCTTTCGTCCGCGTCTGTGAAAAAGACTTCGCACCAAGAAAGCTTTTGTGCTGCAAAGCCACTCATTTCCAAGCCATTATTAATGAACTCGAAAAATAGCGACCGCATAGCCCAAGTTTTGCATCTTGTCAAAAAAAACCTTCCCTCGCGAAAAATGTCACAAATCATGCGCAAAACGTCCACAGTGTGCAGTCATAACTCTTTCTTTCTGTTCTGTTCTGTTCTGATCCTCTCAAAGCAGCCGTTGTTCCACCACCTAGGAAAATGTGGAAGGAAAGTATCATACTGCCAATGCCAATGACGCCCCTGTGCCTTGGCCAGGGGAGAAAGCCCAAAACCAGACCTCTAATTCTTTCTTTGCCTTGGACAGATTTAAATACGCATTAATGGTTGAGAAAATGATATAAGAAAAGTTCCGGGAAATATGAGCCTTCCGGGTAAACGCCCTGTCGTCCGTCGGAATTCCACCTCGTTCATGTAAAAAGTCGCGTTATTCAGTTTTCTTTCTTTCTTTTCGTTGGTGATTTTGTGCATGAGGTTTCCAAGCGGTGGTATCCAATCTGCTGCTCGCTATCGATGGTCGAACCGAGCCACGGCGGCTGTCGCAAACGAGGGTGAGGGTTGGGTAAATGCATTAGTATACAGTACAGGCGTGTCTGGTTCGCGTTCGATTGAGACGTGCTCGTTGGTGCGCTGGAGGCAAGCGACTTAGAACTCAAGTTCAGCTATAGGGCATTAGCAATGGGTTGTCGAATGATCTACCATTCGAATTCACCATTAGCCTTGTGGAACAAGTACCTGGAGGATCATTAGTACGAGGATTAACATTGGCCATGGTTCGGGTGAACTCACTCCTTCTTGTTGGTGGTCAGGATGCCGTCCTTGAGAGTGCACTTCCACTTGTTCTTGACGCGCTGGACCTTATCATAAGTGCACAGCATGTAGTCAACCATGTCGTCATCGCTGTTATCTCCATCGCCCAACTCATCCTCAGAGTCGTCGAGGTCAGAGTTGATCGCATCATCGGGATCCTCTTCCGGCTTTACCTCATCATCCCCATCGAAACGGGCAGGTCCAGGGACACTAGAAGAAGCCTCTGCGTCTTGTTCCTGGAGTACGCGGACGGCAGCCTTTCGCTTTCTACCCTGTGGCATGGAGTCGAGTGGTACCATAAGTCCGCTATCCTGACGCATGGCCATGGCGTCGACACGAGCACGCATGAAGTCGTCAGCTGCCATACGATCAACAGCTGCAGCGGCGCGGGCAGCCTTGAGAGCTTCCCAGTCCGCCATGGCATCACCCGAACCGTCATTCTGTGAGGTATATAGGTGACCCTGTTGAGGACGTTGCTGTGGCATTTGTTGCTGTTGGGGCGGGCGCTGCTGCTGATGCTGTTGCTGTTGAGGAGCCATCATCCGCTGCTGCTGCTGCTGCTGTTGTTGTTGTTGCTGCTGGGACTGCATAGGCATCTGTGGTAGATGACCTTGCTGAGCAAGGTTGGGGAAGTTTTGCTGGTGCCCATGGCCATGTTGCTGCACGCGTTGCTGAACCAGAGCTGCCGCACGCTGCCGTGCCAGCTCGTTGTTCTGCTCATAACCTGTATAACCGTTGTTGGCAGGAGGAGCTTGAGGATAGTTCGATAGAGGCTGTTGGTACCCGCCCTCCATCTTTACGGCCACATTGGGAAAGTTGGGTTCTTGCGAGCCAGACACAGGTGGCATTTCATTGTCAACCTTGACATTGGACGGCACAGTAGGCGGCTGGCGGGCTTGTTCAGGGGCTGGGTCCCATGGAAAATGAGCAATCTTGAGAGCAGACAGTCTCTCTTGCCAACCCTATTTCTAGTCAGTTATGTACCGTACGATGGCACGATGAGACAATGTGTAAGAAAAAGTAGGTGTCACATGACAAGCTATGCCATGTTGGGAAGTGATACGCTGGCCTTGGCGGGTGGGGGAGCTGTGCAGGGGATATAAGAAGGCGACCCAAATACTGAGACGCCCCCGAAGCTGCCAGACCGACCGGCAACCCCAGCCCCGCTTTCAGCCGCCCATCACCCCCAAGCAAGGCGGCCATCGCGACATGGTCGCAGCCCGCGAAAACGAAGCGAGGAAACGATTGACAAATAAAATGGAAATAAGAAAAAAGTGAAATGACAATGGAGCGACGGGGTGGAGGGGAGGCGCGACAAAGGAAATGCAGGCGCGACAGCTGAGATAGCGGCCAGGTTGCAACATACCTGCTTCATCTCGTCGAGCGTGCTCTGGTCGACGCCGGACTCTTCAAAGTCATTCTGCGACGCCTGGATCACCTTCTCCATGATCATCTGGTACACGCCGCCCTGCATGTCGCTGTTAGCAAGCCTGTCCATGACCTTCTACCGCTCCTACGCACGCGCGCGCCTTGGGAATACTAACCACAACCGAGTTCGACATGATGGCGATTGCTTGATACGGTCCGGCTATCTAGTATACGATACGGGATCTGTGAAAGCTGCGCAAGGGCTTGCGATGGGTTGTTGCTCGCTGGCAATTGATTGGTGATATAGGCAGGCAATCCAGGCAGGTGATGTCAGCGCTTGAGGCTGCAAATAGGTGCGCGCGCTCGAGGAAGCTTCTGCGCTATCAAGGAACTTCTACGGAAATTGCTGGCCCAGACGGAAGGCTCTGTACGACGTGTTCGGGTGCCCTCAGCTTTGTTGGTCGTGGGGTGGTGTATGAGTGATAGTGAGCGGCACTGCGGCGGTCGCTGAGGGCGCCGATTCCTTAGCGTCACAAGCTAGCGTAGCGTCTCACGTGATCGCGTCTGCTCGACTTGGAGCATGATAGCAATGCAATAGAACCTTCTGGCTATATACCGTACTAAGTTTCGATAACTGATTGCGACGCGCAAATATAGGCAAACATTGGGTTATTACACGCGTTATCTTGCCATCAAGGATCTGTATTTCATTGATCCACCAGTCAATCATGCAAGACGACGCTCCCGCTACTCCTCTAGAACATTCGTGCTCAAACTGTAGCGTGCCGGTCATATACACATCTAAATCAGCGACTTTAGTATCGCTCTGTCGACGTCTTTGCGTCTGTATCCAGGTGCCCGTCCGAGGCAAACTGCACAATTGTTGATCTCTGCCGCATTCGTTAGCCAAACTTTCTTTGGGGTGAACCGTCGTCACAACCCAGATGGACTCACCTTCTACAAGCCGGGAAACATCAACCCAAGCGCTCTTCTTCTTCTTCTGTCTTACTACTGGCAGACTCTCCACATTCCCACTCATGAGACCCAGACCCATATCCATGCCACCCATGGGAAAAGTATTACCACTAGCGAACGCGTAGTCAAAGCCAGGTGCAAGATCCATGCCTAATGTTTTGAATGAGGACGTATAGTTGACGAGTTTGGGAAAGTTGTTGGGATAGTTAGGCGTTGTTGCGTTGCCGAACGGCATGTCCAAGCTGTAAGGTCCGGTCCAAGAAAGGTTGTATGGATTGTTTGGCGGGGTCATCGCAGTAGTAGTAGAGCCTGTCGAGGACGTCGAGGAGAGTTGGCTGAGAGGAGGTGCGCGCTCATTCACTAGTGGCCGCGTGGTATGCTGGTCCACTTGATCGTCGTTGTCGTCGATGAAGCACTCTGCATATGAGCTTTTCGGGTCAATTTTACACGAGTAGTAGTCCTCCAGGTACCCCTGTACATCATGTGTATCGAACCATTCTCCCTCGTATCCTCTCAGATCAACCCCATTCAATTCCTCGCTCCTTCCGTCCTCCGTATGTTCCATTAACGCCACCTTCATTTCCAGTGGCCCAATCTGCCTCACAGTCCATGCATTCTTTATTGGAACTATATTACCAGCAGGATCTCGTCGCGGGTAGTGTGTACCTGCACCGCCAACATGGAGAAAAGGGGAGTCCCACCAGTCCAGATCCTCATCGATAGTCCGTAATATAGTTCTTCGAAAGCGCTCTCGTATTTGATCCAAGGTCATGTATGGCAGAGAGAACTTGAAGATGTGGTTTATAATCTGATGTCTACAGTCAGTATGTACTCAATTGGTAAGAGGAGGATCTTAAAAGGACTGTTTTTACAGTTTCATACATACAGGAGTCACCGACTTGGCATTGCTGAGTAGGTGGAATCCAGCCTCAAGCGCAGTCCGTGATAACCGCCTAGCAAACGTCCTCTCTTCGAAGCTGTAAGTCGTCACTGCAGGGAGAGACTTTGTCGAAATCTTCGGTACGGAGAGAGGTGGTGTTGGCAGCCTGGTTGTGGGGGGAGTAACGTCAGGGGTTGGTATGTCGACGGAGTACACGTTTACATTGTGTGGTGTGTAAGGCTGTTGCTGTTGACTGAGAAGGTCGACAAGACCGAAAGGAAGCTGCACGGATTGTGGCGTTGAATGCGAAGGCGATGAGTTGGAAGGAGCATATGATGATCGGCGTGAATGGCTTAGTACATCTGAGACAGTAAATTGACGGCGTCTAACAACGCCGCTTGTGCCCGAGTCCGACTGATCATAGACGGGAACAATGTTCGAGAAGTAGCCATCCGTTGGGGATTGGCCCAAATGGGCTTGCTGTGAATTATCCTGAATCAAAGTATGAGCAAAGTTTCCCTGGGCAAACCACAGGCTGTGGTCGATGAAGTCCAGGCATAGTTACAATAGGCCTTACATACCTTCGCTACTGGACCTGAGATCGCCGAGTAACCCCATCCGATATCTTGAGTTACCGGTTCTGGCTGAGGTGGTACCTGCGCAACTACACCATCTGGGATTTTCTGGGAAGGTTCGGCATCCTCCTCTCCCTCATATTGACCTTCACTAGTTGTTTTGATCAGACTTGAAAACGTGTCCGTAGCAAGCTTGAACTCTTGAACTAGATTGGGATTCAATTGCAACAAGCCTGATTTTAGCGTTGCGTCGTTCACTCGAAGGAATGTCTTGTTCATCTGATCGATGATGGATTGAAGCTGTGTGTTTTGGTTCTTTAGTGAGGCGATTGTAGTTTCTTTCCGTTGGCGATAGGCACGCTGGGCCAACCGGATTTGTGTTCTCCGCCTCTAGCAGTTTGTCAGTATAAGACATTCTGAGACGATGGAATGATTTCTTTCTGCTGATGTGATGGGGAAAGTGGTGTTGAAGAACTCATTTCTGGTTAGCTGCTATGATTGAATTAACCCGGGGGCCTGAGTTGGTGACACGACACCAGCCTTTTTCAGCTTTTCAGCTCGACGTGCACCACAACCACAAGGCCCCATCAGATATCCTGTGCAGGCCGCAACCTCCTCCTCCATTCAGACAGAAGCAAAAGAAAATATTAACTTACATCCGCCGCCGTAGCGTCCTGTGTATCCACCCGCGGTCGTCCCCTAGCCTTCTTACCCAAAGCCCCACCATCTTCGCCGCTATTACTCCTGCGCGAGCGCTTGCGCGACGGCTGTGTCTGCTCTTCCGACTCAGAGCTCGTCATATCCCTACTCTTGCTGGCCTGGTTGATGATATGGATCCGATGGAAGGCGGGATTGTCCACGATAGAGTTGATGACCAATAGCGAAGCGCGAGGTTGGTGAGGTGGAGTGGGCGGAAGCTCCCGATTAGTGATCGAAGATCTCTCTTGTGAACCCCATCCCATTACTCAACAACAACCGATTCGTACGGATATCTTCAGTGAAAATATTAGTCGCAACACTGTCTGTGGATAAATCGGCTGCAGTAGGAGTCGTCGCAGCTGAGAAGTTGGTATTCAATCGTCCGTCAGGTGAGAATCCACGCCCACAAGGTTCAGCGTGACGCGAACCTGCCACCGTCTAAAAGTAAAAAGACCATGCAATGCCGATGATGCCGACTCCCGCTTCAGCTCACAGGCTTCGACCAAGGGGCCTGCTTGTAACACAGCCCTGATGCTTGCCTTCGCGCTTACAAAGCTTCCACTAGTTGCTGTAGGACGAAAGATGCGGATGGAGGGGGCGTGGTGGCGCGCGAGCTAGGATAGTGCCATCATCATATTGCTTCTTCCGGAGGAGAGCACACCGCAATGCGGGCTAGACGCAGACATCGCCAGTGACGGCATTCGCGACTGGGGCCGTCAGACTCTCGAAAGTATGCGTCGTGACTTATATTACGGAAGTGTGTCGTCAAGAGAGAAGATGATATAATGGTTGCTGACATGATTACTGAACACAAATCTCCGTCTCGGCCTTGTGATGAGAATGGACCAAGTCACGTGATGCTTCGGGCGATTATATACATATGTAGCGACGCATGCCATCACGCGTCTGATGCCGACTGAGATGTCCAGGATGCCGATAAAGAATTTCTTACATGCGCATTGGTTATCCAGTGGTATTACTATAAAAGGCATGGTACCGGTATGCTATATTTGAACGGTGTTCGCCTCAAACAGTAATCATCCATATAGATCATGGAAATATCTACGGGATAAGGTAAATGGTATGTATGCTTACGCCTAGCCCGAATGGTACACAAATTCCGTTGTAAAGAAGATTTTGAACAAGGACCAGGTGATGGGATCCGTGTACAAAGTCATATCTACAACGCAATCTGTGGACCATTCGTGTAGAAGTCTAAGATGCCTGTCTTTTTATCTACCTGTATCCTCATAATAACTGGGTGGTCCCTTTCGATTAGGTAAACTGGTACATCTACGCTTGCTTTTGCCCCGGTCCATGTCTCAATGCAGGGATGACACCCATCCAGGTGTTCGCAGGTGCTTCCTCGTCAGGCCCCGCGGCGGCCGATATTTTGTCAGAATCAACATCTCTTTTCTCGTCATCATCATATCTATCGCGTACAGATTGTGAAGCACCTTGATGTTGTCTTTGCGAACTGGACGTATCTTTTGAGCTGCCATCGTCTCCGCTCTGCAACGTGCTCCCATCTTTCTCGGCATTATCCCTTGGGATGTGATTACTACCATGACGCTCTTCGTTGGACGCAGTGGCACGGTCCTCGTCGATGCGTTTCTCTCCTCCTTCTTCCTCGTTGATCCAGTGGTTTAACGCCTCATCCGAGGGCTTGTAGAAACACCACATTTCATCTGAGGTTGTATAACCCGTCCCCATACCACCTTGGAAGTTGCGCTTAAACTTCCTTTGTACACCAGCGGCCATACGTTTTCTGAACTCATTATCTACCCGAAGGCGAGCGGCTATCCATTGGTCGTCCGGCCGATGTTCTTCAGGAATTTCTTCCAACAGTGGCGTTTCGAGTAGATTCTCGTCAGTCATACAACGACTGATGAGTGACTTTCCCCCTCCCAATTCGGGGGTCACCAATCTCAAGAATTCAAGACTGGTACTGACATTGAGATCGATGGCTCGTTGTGGGTGAACAGTCGCCTTCATAAAGAAGGAGGACACATGTTCGTATAAGATTGAAAAGTCGCTTTGATTGACGTGGACGGATCCTCGAACAGTGAGAAGGTATGCAGGAGCACCATGCTCGCTAGCTTCTTTCATAAGGGACATGCTTGCATCCCAATTCTTCTCCCAGTACATGAATGCTTCGCTAGCGATACCAAGCAAAGGAAGATGTATTCGATGCTTAGGGTCATCTAATGGCGGCTTTATGGGAGCACTTTAGTTATATTAGCTTCATGTCTGACGATTGAGGTAGAGGTAGAGGTAACTTACCCCCAAATGTCATATATGATCCCTGCCTGTACGTTAATGAACCGCTCAGTATGTCTGAGCACTTCGACTACGGTCGCAGCCCCAAAGCTGTGGCCAGCCATCGTCATCTTGTCGACATGAAAGCGATTCTTCCATTGAGACCAGTCAACACCGATTAGACCTCGCGACGAGCCACCAACATAACCTTCCCCACGCAGATTCTGCCTTGCGATATCCTCCCCATCGCCAGCACAGATTGCTTTGAGAACACGATACGCCTCTTCGAGCTCACAAAGACGCATTTCGATCTGAGCACTGCGCAGTTCACTATCAACGCCATTTTCATTGTTCGGTGCGGTGTCTTTGGGGTTGCCCTTGGGGAAGATGTAGTCCTGTGGGCGTTAGCGTGAGACAGTAGTAGCCAGTGAGAATACATACGACGTAGTGGTAGCCCTGTGCAATCTCCTCTTCGGTGTGATCCATGTGCTGGAACTTTTCGAAATCTTTCTCACCTTGCCCATCACCATCGCAGTCCGCATCGTTTGCTTTACCTCCTCCGTGCCCATCTTTCCTGTGCTTGCTTCGCTTCTTGTGGTTTATAAAGGATCGTGGTCCACTCCCGTCTCGATGCTCCATGGCGCACACAACAAAGCCATAGCTTGCAAACTCGGAGCATAGGCTGCTGTATGCTGTTCTTGAACCACCAAGACCGTGGCTGAACATTAACAGCGGGAAGGTTGGTTCTTCACCCAAGCCTTCGGGCGGGTTGCCTTGCTGATTCTTGATCTTGTATCCATCTTTCTTCGCATTCCCTTCTGGTGGCCAATGGGTCGCTGGAGGACAGTTCCGGTATGCACGGAGTTTTGTTAGCATGGTAGTTGCACCAAAGAGCCCAATGCCCACGAAGTTTGGTATTCCCGCGAATTGCGCATACCCCTTGGCTGTCTCCCTCCGTGGTCTTGGAAGCCATGTTTCCCGACTCCATTTTTTCTCTCCTCCAGGTGCCTTCCCATTCCCGCTCCCGAATGACGCCGGGTAGTATAGTGTAAACAAGACTGTTTCCAATTGTAGAAGGTGCCTGCCCTTCCGCTTGATATGTGAGATAGGCCGGGGCTTCTCCACAGGGACTTCAATTTCCATGCTCCCTATGGAGTACGGTCCTGATGCGGGACATAGCGTAGAGTTCGGGTAAGGAAGGTGGTCGCGCAGCGAGGCGGGTGGTCGGGTACGAGGTTTCTTCGCATTGGGTATTTTGCCCGACGAGGAGACGCGTATAACGCTCTTTCGGCGACCACTGTGGTCATCGCCCGTGATTCGCGTTGTTTGGCGCTCGAGAAAAGACATGATGAGTGATCAGCGACAATATCAAAGAAATGCTGAGGGCATCACAACAAGAGAAGCTATGTATAGGAAAAGGAAGTAGGCCAAGAGCGGTGCTGCTCAACGTAATGCGCAGAACAGCAACCGCAACAGAAGAAGACTAGGAAAGCTTCGCTATGCTTATCAAGAGTCAAGAACCACAGACAAACGCATTGTCCATCACGGAGGCTGTGCGGATACGCGGAGACTAAGGAGATAGTGTTCGCGTGTTTTCAGGCCCGCAAGTGATGTCATCGCTCGGTCGGCTATCGCAGCACGTCAATGTGCAGGGGGCCTTCCGATTAAGTCTCCACAACGTGTTTTGGCGTTGGGCCACAACAATCAGAATTAATGATCCAAGTTAATCCTAGTTAATGGCTACATAGCTAGCTAGATTACCTAGTTAGTGTTTTGTTATGCTACGGTGGAGTACGTTAATCGATAAAAGGACTACATTAAATCTGTGAAGATCTACAGGAATTTGACTAAAGACAGATTGGTACCATAGTAACATCTGAACTGTTCATCTTGACATTGATAGCCTCTGCAGAGCAAGTATATTGTGGTATAATTGAGCAACCATCCGAGGTGCTACATTAGGGTCCGCCGCGTTGGTCAATATGCGAAGTAAAATACCTGTAGTAGCTCCTACACCTTGTAAATGCGGTGCTACAGCTGCTTTTGCATGAGAGGAAGCAACAGTGCCGAGCACTTGCTCCTCCAAAAGCTGAGCTGAACCCAACTAAACCTCTGAGGTCTTCGACTTATCAACCACGGGATACTGATCTGTACCAAACGTCGAGTTCAGTGACACTTGACCTGAAATCTTCCCATCTTCCAGCCGAATCCAAGTATCAACCACATTCTGTCCCAGCGAATCCTCTCCCACAACAATCTGCCTCGCACCACGTGTATAATCGCTATAGCCACCATATCCAGAGTGCCTATTGAAGCAGATGTTGAGGCCATTGCCGTTAGCAGGCGATGTTTTGGGCAGGTCTTTAGACCACTTCATGCACCAATCGACCATGTGATCGTGGCCGGAGAAGACAGCCATGAGACCCTCAGTTTTGACGAGCGCACTCATAAAGGGTATGTCTGCGCCGTTGTAGTTGCAGTTGTTGCCTGAGATGTCACAGCTATCGCCTTGTTGGCCGATGACCTCTTCATTGATACCGGGGTTTGTGGTGCTACCATAGCCATCGTGTTGGAAGGACGAGGTTGCGTGAATGGGGATGTGGACGAAAGCGAGACTTGGAATGGCTCGGCCGTATTGTTGGCGGAGGTCACTGTTGGTGCTACAGAACCAGTCGACGACCTAAGATGTTAGAAAATGAGAGGCAGTATGGGAGGTAGGGATTACCTTTTGATCTACCCAGTTGGGCAGCTGGACGTCATCGCCTGTAGGTTGATACTTGCGGCCACCCTTGCTATCAAAGAACCATAACAGCATCTTGAGTTCATTGCTGTCGGTAGAGCTGTAGACGGGGATGAAGTAGTTGCTCTGGCCGACTTGATCGTAATCACCAGATACGGACTGAGTTGTGTAGGATAGCTTCTGACCATTCTTGCCTTTGACATCGTTCCACATGTGGTCGCTCATCGAAGCAGTGCTGCAAGTCTTGGACGCATCGTGGTTGCCGAATGTTGCGCCAAAGGGAAGGTTACGGTTTACCAAAGGAGCAAGGATTTGATCGGTCAACGCATTCAGATTGTCAGGAGCAACCCACTCGCAAGATACGAGGTCACCGTTGAGGACCACAAAATTAGGTTGCTCATTGTCGAGGACCGAGTTCATAACACCGACAGTCTTGAGGTCTGCATCAAGTCGACCGCGTGAAGACTCGGCTTGGAGTTGTCAGCGGTCACTGGTGGCTGAGTCTAGGGTGGGGTTTTTACTTACGCTCGCCGAAGTGCAGGTCACTGAAGACACTGATTGAGAGCTTCTTGTCCGATCCAAACTGAATACCAGGGTAGTCGAGTGCATTTCGAATTGGCAGAACTACAGCACCTGCTGTACAGGCCAGTAGCGCAAACAGTCCCGTATGCTTCATGATGGCAGTAATGACTGGAAGACTTGATACAAGTTGGTGTAGTCAGATCACTGTGTAGTAGCAAAGTTGAACAAGAGTAGGGTTGGTAACGTAGGACAGAGATTAGACTGTGTAAAGGCTCTTGGAAGGCGAAATCTCAAGTCATGAAGGAGTGCGGTCCGTGCGGGTGGACCACCAGGCAGGCACCAGACGATGGGAAGGCACAGTGGGAGGGCGCAACTTAGCTAGCGCGAAATTTACGGTGAACCACAACATCATTTGCCGGGCCTGTTTTGATTCTGCTATGACGAAACTGTTCGCACAAACCACCTGAAGCAAACAACAGACTGAACTGTACAAAGGTAACTGTGTCTAACGTCTGCCCTTGGTGGATACATACGCACACAGGTAGTACTAACACAACATAAAAGCCCGTCTGTCATCTTCTAGAGGAATCTCCAAAGATAGAGCTTGAGCATGTTCTGCAAAGCTAAAGAATACTTCACCTTACTAGCCGAAGCGAAAGCTCGAAAGAGAATAACCGTAAGGACCTATCTACTACAAGAGCATTATATCAGCGCAGCTGACACGGGACTAGGTACCGACTAAGCCTAAGGCGAGCATGGCGACGACTAAGCCTGAGGCGAGCATGGTGACAACTAAGCCTGAGCTGATCATCGCGACGACTAAGCCTGAGACGAGCATGGCGAGTATGGCGATAAAGCTGGCTGGGAACATCACTTTCGAGCAATGGTATGATAACAGCAAGGCCGAACTGCAATCGGGAGGTGCCACCTGGTATTACGACAGCAACGATAGTCCGACCATGAATTCCAATCCACCATTGCGCCTACTTCGACAGAGTATTGGTCCACACATGTGTATGAAGTGCACAAGTGTGGTCGATACCAAGGAGGTCAAACAAAACAGCGACTTCAGGCTTGCACTTCAGGCTCGCCTTTCGTCAGGGTACTTGGACGAAGTCTTCGCCTCGAACTCCTCAACTATCAAGATCAACCAAGAACTTCCGCTATCGAGATCTGTCGTCCTTGAGAAAGGTGTCCGTTATGTCAAGGCCCTACCTATGTGTCAACCAGGAACCAAAGCCGACCAGAACAATGATGAAGAGCACACCAATGTCGGTCCTGAGAGCAAGCTTCCGAATCGCCTGAATCCTCAAGAATTTCCGCTCTATATACTAGCATGCGACCATATCATCTGTCAAGCGTGTCTCGTATACAACTTCGACACTTGGTATCAGAATGCAGTCTGTCCAATGTGCCGACACGAGCTTCTCAGAACCGGGCGCTTCTACTTCGGGAATATGATGGTAGACCAGAGTGCAGCACTGGTAGTGGGTCGTGCAGCTGCATTCTTCGACGATGGTTTGCTCCATAAAGCCATAGAAGTATACACTGCCTCTTTCAAGGCCAACGACAAGTCCTCCATCATACTCACGACATGGGGCTATGAACAGGTGGCGCACGGAGTTGCAGCATATCTCGAGACAAAATACCCGGCAGGTTATTATGGTCATTCGAGCAAGTATATGACCGATGAAGCGCTTTCTCGATCAGTACAGTCCTCGTCTGTCAAGCACGTCTTGGATATCGCCCACTCAATCAATTTGCAGAAGTTGATCCGGTTGCATGCAATGAGTGTTCCTTGCTTAGTCTCGGTGACAGGGCTGAAAGCTACTATGTTGCGACTCGTCCGCCAAGCTGTTCAGGAACCGATTGCCGATATCTGTCGTAGGCTGCTTTCAGAAGAGCTCATCGACGCCGGCTTCGGTTTGGATCTTTCATCGGAAGAAATACTTGAGGTTGCAACAACCCTTGATGGGACTCAGATGAAGGAGTTGTGGCGTGTTTGCGAGATGTTCGTCGAGTATACGGTTGCTTGGCTTGTATGGAGACATGTCACTCTCGATCCAGACTATGTTGCTACGCTGACTAAGCTCGCCGTGCCCATGGGACATTGAGATGTCAAGCGCCAAGCAGGGGGAAGACGGAGACAGGATGACGCGTGTAAGATTTTCTTTCGGGGTTTCAAGGGGAGATTTTCTATGTCTCAAAAGTTAATGGTGTGATTTTTTCGGTTTATCAAAGGGGGATTTTCTGTGTCTCGGAAGTTGACTGAGTATTTGGAGAGGCAGCCGCCAATCCGTGCTCGAAAGTAAGGCATGTGCAGTTAGAACGCGTCAGGGGTCCGCAATTGCGCTAAGTAGTTAACGCCTAAATTTCCCCACCAAAATTTCCTGGCGCGAAGCCTCGTTCCTTCACCTCACCTGCAATGAACGCCGAGGCATATTTGCGCAAGCAAGGCTGGCAGGGCTCAGGTCACTCGCTCGATCATACCGGGCGCGGCATTAAGAAGCCGCTGCTCATCACCCACAAGAATGATCAGCTGGGGCTCGGCAAGAAAAAGGCGGCGCATACGACGGATGACCAGTGGTGGCTACGTGCATATGACCAGAGTCTGCAAACAATTGGCACAGGAAAAGATGTATGTTGCCAACGTTTTCATCTATGCGCGATTCAGAGAAAAGACACATGGACTAATCGTTTGTGCAGAGCACCCTCGACCAGGTCCGTACTCAGGGCATCAACCGCGGCGGTCTATATGGCTTCTTCGTAAAAGGCGAACAGATCGAGGGTACTATTGGGGACACATCAGCCACCACAACGGACGTCTCAAACCCTCCATCCGGTACCAGCACGCCGCCAACCTCCGCATCCGAAACCGAAGCATCTGCGCCGTCCAAGAAGACAACGGATAAGAAGAGCAAGCGCAAGCGGGAAGAGTCAGATGCCAAGGCAAGCAAGAAGAGTAAAAAGGCGGACGCCAAGGGCACTGAGCAGGATGTCATGGCCAAGAAGCTTTCCAAGTTGAAGCCTGCAGAGAGGGCCGACTACGAAGCACGCGCAGTAGCAAAGGGACAGTCGCTCGAGCAATACGTCCTCCGTCGCATCCAGAAGAAGACCGAAAAGAACGCACCAGAGCCTGTGGGACCAACGTCGGTGCCTGGTGTCTTCTTCACAGACCTTGAAGGCAATCCAGATCTCGCAAACGGCGTTGCAGACAAACAGCCCAAGGAGAACAAACCAGCGAAATCGGGCGACAGAGCGGAAAAGCCGGAGAAAGCGGCCAAAGACAAAAAGCAAAAGAAGTCGGACAAGAGGGAGAAGAAGTCTAAGAAGACAGAGAAGAAGGAATAAAGAGAAGACCGAACAGTCATATTGGACAAAAAAATTAGAGAATGAATCACTCCAATGAGTCCATTTATCGAACAGCTTCAGAATTCGAATCGCAGTCGAATAAAACGCCACGCCTTCCTCATTGGATACGCCATCCGGGCCACGAATACGACGTCAGCGAGTGCTGAAGGGTTTAGTCATACAGATAGGGAGAGCGCTCAATCGGCCAAGGCCGTACATACGTAAACAGCAGAGAGGGACCAAAAAGTCACGGATAAGGAAACGAGCAGGTCGATAGCAGATTCACGACTTCATAGAACATGATACCCAAGTAGTGTAAAATAAGAAAACCTTATCATCATAACATCATAACATCATGAATATTACTTATACAACAAGACTCTTCTTCTAACTCTACTTGTTTTCGGACATCCAATCAACACCAACAAAACATCCTCTTCATCGTACACACATACATACGATACATATGACCAATCACCCCAATAGAAGAAGAAAACATTCACAAATAGAAGCGAACCACAACACCCTCCTTTTCCCATCCCATCACATCATCCCGTCCTCCCACTCAAAATCCACGGCCTCTTCTCCCAAAACTCATCTTTGATAACATCAACATGCTCCATCAGCACTGCCGCTTTACACTTCTTCTTGCGGTCTTTATCCTTTTGCGTACGACTCATTTGCACCGGGGCACCGGAAGCAGGAAATTCAGATGCGTGGTTGTGCTTACCCCTCTTCTCCATACTACTGTCTGTCTTCTGCTCCCTAGCATTACCACTAGACTTCGTTTTCGTCGACGAAGCAGTCCGCACAGCCTCCTTCAGCCTCGTCTGCGGCGGGATGTTCGCGTTACTACTAGGGAACGGCTGAGTAGTGGGGTAAGGTTGAGATTTCGGGCCCGTGTTCGCGGCCGAGGTGAGGGCTTGCATGTCCGGGGAGGCGTGGGGGTACTGGAGAGTGGCGGATGTGGGAGAGGAGCTTGTGGGGGAAGAGATGGCGTGAAGCTCTGCGAGGCCAGGGTGGGAGATTGAACCGTCGGGCCAGATTGTGTAGGCTCTGTTGCTGGATTCGCTGGCGCGTCGAGGTGGGGAGGTGTCGCCTATGTTGGGCGTGGTGGCGTATTTTGTAGTTTCTTGACGCGGGCTACTGGCTATAACCTTTTCTCGCGTGCGGTTCTCTTCTTCGGCGCTCATCGGGGGGCTTGGTAGGGCCTTGTTCTTTTGGAGGGGTGGGCTGACTCTACGGGTTGGTGTTGAGACGGTGTCGTGGGGGCTGACGTCACCGTCGCCGGTGGTGTTTGAGCGATGGGCGGGCAGAGACAACTTGCGTGGCTTGTTGTTGGCAGGTATGCTCGATATCCGTAGAGGTATGGATGGCGGTCCCACGGGGTGTGTGGCACTCGAGGCGAAATAGGTAGGGAGTGTTGGCTGACTGGGCGAACGTTGCTTCAGCCTAGGCTGTGTCACCTGCTGTGCATCCGAAACTGTTCCCATAGATGCAGAAGCAGAGTGTGAGAATCCCCGACTCACTGACGAGCTCGTGTGATGGCGGTAGCCTGCTATGGGATAATCGGCTGGGAAGTCGTTCTCGGTCATCTCCGGTGAAACATTCAAAGGCTGTGGTGTCTTTCTACTTGGCTTTAATGTTGGTGGCGACAGAGGTAGAGGTGTCAATGAGGGCAGATGTGGCTTTCCGTTAGTCGATGACTTGTTATACCAGGTAGCAGTGGACGGCGGTGAAAGCGGCATAGAGCTAGTCACGTAGCTATTGAGATCGGAATTGCTAGGGTTGCAGCGAAGCGGGTTGGGGAATGCTGCTCTTGAAATCATCTTTGGGGATGGCGGTGGCGATGGTGTTGATGTCTCCGAGAGGAATGTTTTACGTGGAGTGTCAGGGAATTGAAGCAAATTCTTTTGGTCTGGCAGATAAGGAATCGCCTTTTCGACGGATCGAGATGTTTTGTGTGTCTTTGCTTGCTGTAGCGCTGGCGAGGCTATAGGTTCTGACGGGAAGCTTGTCTGGATTATCGGTCTCGCCGTTGCAGATCCCTTTTCAGACTCGATGGCGCGCGGCTTAGGAAAGAACTACTATTGTTAGACACTTTGATTCAATATAAGGATATGAGTTAAGCGTCTCTTACATCTCTATACAGTACTGTGCCCTTCTTGAAGCAGTCCGGCTCGTTGTTATAGTTGATGCCAAACTCTTTGAACAGGATCTCGTTCTTTTCTGACGACACGGTACCCTTGAGTCTTTGTTCTGCTTCTCGAGCTCCCATTCCACCCTTCTGAACAAGGGCCCAGAAAGTAGTGTTATATAGGTTGTTGATATGGCAGTCGACTTGGCGCCAGCTTAGGTAATCCCGAAGGTTGTCGTCGCTTGGGTAGAGCACAGCACGTCCATCAAATGATGGTAAAGGCGGCGTGAGGGGCTTATCAGGAAAGTATAATGACCAAGAATATACATAATATGCGGTGAAAGTCGATACAATAGTCGTGGTGAGTTTACTATATACGGATTAGTGTCGTGTTCTCCACTCGCGGCATGTGGAGGAGTTTCGTACCTGGCTCGCCGGTCGAATAAGGCACAGTCTTTGTGGAAGACGAAACTATCATACACGTCAGCAAGTGTCCGAAACATGTGCTTGGCCAGCAAGAGGACGGAGGAGTGGAACACAAGGCCGCGGTCGGGCTCCGGCGTACGACCTGTTACAGCATTCTGTCTCGAAACACGGCTCTCGCCAATGAAGAAGCGTATCGTAGGGTATTATCGTACCTAAATTCGTCGCTGTTGCCGAATGCCATGACAAGGTCGGGCAGTTCTTTCATGACGGCCTTTGCTGCTGCGTTCATGACGTCTAGGCCATTCTTGTCATTCGGTTTGACAAATTCATACTTGGCGGTGAATCTGGTAGAAAGTTAATATGATTACTCAACAAAACACAATAACCGAGATATTTTCCTGCAGCATTCGTATCTCTGTACAACGGGATACGGGTACCTGCATAGCCGGCCCGCAAAGCAGGCAAGACGAGGGAAGGTCAAACGGAATAGAGGACTGTTCACGTACTTTGAAAAGCCACGGCCATCGATGCGTACCACAATCCATGTGTTCTCCAACAGGCCATCATCCTTCTCAAATCTCCGCACGTATTCATATCTGAACTTTGTTAGTTGAAGTTCGCGGTTTTGCTGTCAGCTCCAATTGACAGCCGCAGCTGTTACCCCACCCGCTCGCCGAGCCATGGGTACTTACTTGCTGTTCGCCATTTAATCCCGTGTTTTCGATACAGACTTTTCGAGTTCAGCACAGACACGCACACTGCATAGTCCGGAGAAGATTGACAAAGAAATGACAGACGCCCACGCGAGCTTGTTCGCAGCTCGGGAGTCCGTAAGTGCGGTTATGAAGGTTGAGAAGAGTCCGGGGCCAAGACTAACCGCTCTGCAGCGAAGCCCAAAGACGGTGTTTCAGGTGCGCAGAAGTCATGCAGCTACCGTGAACCGTGACAAGCTTCTACAGCCGATTGAAGCGCGGGTATCGGGGTGGGTAATTGTCATCCCTCCGAAGTGGCCGTTATGCACTCTGCGATTTGGGCCACGGAAACCTGGGATTTCCTTCCGCACGCACAACCGTTCCGGAACATCTGCACCAGCGCTCGGGCCAGCCGCCTCCCAAGGCTCTCTTGTCGACAGCTGTAAAACGCAGTCATCTTTCAAATCCATCACCAGCCGCGACATGTTCATTACCTAGACATGCTACTGTGGCTTGTTATTTCATACTTGCATCATCATCCACAGCAAAACTAGGCAAATCTCAACCATCGGAGCGACATGTGCGCTGCACTGCGCTAGTCACTTCCCCGTGCGCATCGCACTGCACAGGCGATACAAAACAACAACGGAAATCTCCGGTTCTAATAGGTGGCTGTCGGAGCGGGAGCGGTAGCGGTGTGGCTGTTTGCAGCGTTCTGGGATTTCTCTCAGATGCTCGGTGCTTGTGACATGTGCTACGAGCTTCATGCTGGAACGCCCTGACATGGACGGGACACTGGTACCGTCAGGGCACCAACTACGAGCACGCGCACCAGGCTCCTCAAACAACAACACCATGCATTGGATTATAGCACTGCCGATAATCCACCGCAGACTTGCTATCCACCTGCTTGGCCACCGCCTTATCCGTCTGAACTGCCGCCCTTTTGCGTCGCAACCTCCCTTTCCTCAGCTAGCTTCCTAGCTTGGCCGGTCTATTCATCCTGCAATGCTCGACGCCAAGCGTCCCAATGTAGCTGGGGGTTTGCGGCAACGCTACTTACCTGTCACCAGAACCCAAAACTACCTACAGCACAACTGCAGAACCCCCTTCTAGGCTTGTTGCTTACATACTGTGTGATGAGCCTCAGGCTTCTCCGCAACATGGACCGGACCGGCACCATTGGCCGGGCCAAAGCGTTCATGCCGGTCTCGCTGCTCTCCCGCTGGTTTTCGTCAGCGACGGTTCCCCACACCTCGACCTCAGATCATCCGTCAGCCTAGCCCATGTTGTCCACCTGGAATCATACTATGGCCTTGGGCATTGTTCCGTCGTTACATGATTCCAAAATACACGAAAACAAAATTCCCATGGTCGGCCATCTCCATCTCGAAAATGGCTCGCCGATATCATAGCAATTGCCGGAGAGCCAAGAGGATGATCATATGTGGCGTTTTCAGTATACAACCACAGCTCTTGGAAGCCACACCCAATGCTGTCATTTGCGCTATCAAGCCCAAACAGCATGTAGACGCCAAGTTTAACATTCTAGGATACGGCGACACTGGCGAGCATTTGGCCACCTTGGCCAGCGATCAATACCACCGCTTTCTTAATGCGCAAGGAACATATATTCCGACATCACACGGCTTCGGCGTCGAACTAACACAGCGACAAAGCACCATGTACTGTATCGGAAAGAACCCGATCCGATACGCCTTCTGGTCGATCGCAAACGCTGATTCCTTTAGACACTTCTGGCATGCTCCCTGCTGATGGAGAAACGAACCGATTCCCCACGGATGTTACGTGTGTCATCCGATTCAGTATGTGTGATGTAATAACAGCTCGCATTAATGCTATAACAGACGGCACTATAGATGTAGTCGGGCATAGTTTTACGCCCCGTGGTGTTTGAATGGTTGTTTGGAAATAATGAGGGCGTGTGGCTAACGAGGTGCAGATTCGTAGCGTACGAGTGGCGCAGTTCGTCATGATGTTCACTCGGCATTCAACATCAAGCAGCATAACGCCGATATAGTATCATGACGTTGGAATTTTCTTGGATTTGATAAGCCACTTTCGCTGTCTAGACGTACGCGTCACGATTCCATCTAAACCACGAGTCTGTGGCAACCACACGATCTTCGATGCAACCCTCCGGACGCCCTCCGCCTCTCGGCCCACAAAACACAACTAGATGCTCCATCTTCCAGCTCATCTGTTCCGCCCTAACGATATACACCGGTTTGACCGTATCCACGAAGACGCCGCATTTCACCATCGCAAGGAAACCCTTCTTCAGCTGGACGCCTCTGTACTTGGATTGTGGCCAACTACTAAACTAGACCCATATACACAAACCACAACCCTCACCCACCAAACTTTATATCCCATACACATCATCATCAAAAAATACCAGCACAGCCTCACTCCCCCTAACACGCACCACCCTCTCCCCCCCAACAGTCTCCACCGCCATCTTTCCCTCCGGCTCGCCCATCGGAAAAGCCTGCCCGGCCCACTTGGTCAACGAATTATCTTTCGTATCAACAAACGGCGCCGTCATTCTCTTCACCCTAAACGTTTCGTTGCCCTTGGTCGCCCCCACTACGGCGGCCGACAAGTCCACATTAACAGCAAAGTCCGTCGTCGAGTTTGCATAGTAGGGTTTCATGTTGACGAGAGCCACTTTTGATAACCGGTCTTTGACGTAAAATGCATATGCAGAGAAAGACTCTGAACTCACGCCTGCTGGGGGCACCAGAGCACGCACACGCGTGTCACCCACGGCAAACGCCTCTGCCATGAAGAGCTGCGCGAGGAAAGAAGGGAGTGTTCGTGCTGGACCTCTCAACTCGCTGTCTCTTGGGTACAGCATTGAGTAGGTGCTAAATCCCGGGCTGCCGTTAGCACCAGGCGTGTTAACCTGGTTGTTTGACTGTAGAGCCAGCGTAGCGCCCTGGTGGAGATGTGTAGCACTGGCGTTGCGTGTAGCGTAGATGAGTTCGCTGTCCACGACCCAGAGGGCTTGGGCAAATGTATCTGTGACGTTTGGGGCGCCAGAGCAAGACACCGAGTTGAACTCGCCAATGTTCCAGTGGGATCCTGCGTCGAGGGCTGCGCGGGCCGATGGGTAGATTTCCTCGTCGCAGTACCGTACTAGTTCCGTGTGGTTTAGGATGTTCTTGATGGTGGCGAGCTTTGCGCGGGCGGGGTCGCACGTCGAGAAGGCATATGAGTGGACGCTGTAGATGCCGACTTGCTTTGCGGAATCTATGCCTGCTGGGATGAGGGCGGCGGGTCGTACTTCAAGGCCGGATTTGTCAGTTGTGGCGGAGGATGCCCACCAGCGTTGTTGCTGTAGAGTTGCATTTTGGAGCGCATTTAGTGCTGCGTCTATGCTGGCTGTATACTCCTTCCACTGCTTCACGTAGCTTGCTGTTGAATCATTCCAGCGGCTTTTGACGTAGTTGGTCGGTTCATTACCCAGCTCGAGGTAGTTGACCTTGTCGGGCTGGTACGTAAGTGATGCGACAGCCAAACCTTTGGAGATGGTCAAGCTCTCGTTGCCGAAGTTGAGCGTAGAGATGAATTTAGTGCCCTTGGGGAAGTTATCCCAGCTCTTGTAGTATCCAGGCCCAACTGTCGTCCGGTACACGGCACCTTTTGGGCTCGTTGTGCGCACTACGTCGACGACTTTTGGGTCGAAGATCATGCTGTCCATGGTGATGCCACCAGGTCGGATGACGGGGTTTCCGCCATGTTCGTGGATCCTCTTCAGCACACTAAAAGTGAGGGCATTTGGATTGCTGGCATTGCCAAAGAAATCGACCCAGAATGCGGGCTCGAATGAGAACGAGGCAAACGAGTTGCCATGTGGGATGGAAGCCCCTACTGCTGTTCCTGGGACGCTCAAACTCGAGACTTGACACAAGTCTGTCGCTGGGTAGGCGTAAACAGCCGTAGCTATAACTGATACAGCGGCGGCTCGAAGCAAAATCATTGTGAGAGCACCTAATAGACGTGTCTGGCGACTACAGTGGCTTTTTTATACTAGTATGTTTAGTATTTTATGATACCCGGGTGAAAGTGTGCAGCTTGTTCTAGAGGTTGCTGCGCTGGAGTTGGAACAATATATGTGCGGTTAAATTGCCATGAAAGGCAACGACGCCGATGCGTATGTGCATCATCGTGCCTACAATCCAGGTGATAACGGACTACATTCTTCCGGCGGCAGGGAATTGTTCCAATATGCCGTGTCGGGTATTGCTGTATTCGTCCTAGACATGGCGCGAGAAAACAGATTATTGCGGGGAATGTTGCGGGGTTGCATCGTGGGGGAGGATTCTGTGTGCGCCCCCAAACTCTCTGTAGCTCACCCGGGTGTCATAAAATACTGGACATACTAGCGTAAAAAAGCCACTGTAGTCGCCAGACATGTCTATTGGGTGCTTACCCACACCGTCTAGTATTTTATGTCACCTAGGTGAGCTCTTTATTTCGGCTTCGCACAATAATATGGAGATATTGCCGTAATTGGAAATAGAGACTTACAGAGGTCAGATCTCGAGTTCCACTGTGTTGTAAATAATGAGCGCAGGACCAAGCTGGAGAAGAATCTGTAGCTTGTAAATATACGTATCTTAACAGGAGTTGAAGTCAGTACTAGACTAATAGAAGATCTGAGTACCGGCATTTGCTGCGGTACGCTTCTGCGACAAGATCTGTGGATACAATCAAACGCGTGATCCAGAGGTTGAAATGCATGCTTGTCGGGCGGAAAGTGTAGATGGTGCAGTTCTGTTCGGAATTAACGAAAGCTAGATGAAGCGTACAAAAGTTTCGGAAATCGTAGCTGGTGGATTACTATCTGACATTAACACCGCCATATCTATTTTGTACCTACCGCACCATGCGGCACCCCCGTTCTTTTCCTCATCATAACTTGTCCCATAGCATTTCTAACCTCCCTCTCCTGATGCACCACATTCTGCACCATGTACTTTTTCAGCGCATCTCTCAGCTCGGTCTTTGCCCTTTCGTTGTCCCTGTACGGAATGCTCTCCAGCTCCAAGAGCCTATTCGCATCTTTGTTGACTTCGTCCACGAGGCCACCGAGACGATCAAGCTGCTTGTGTCGCGTTTCGTCGCTATCATCGATGGGCTTAACCGGTTTGTGCGCGTCCATGCGGTAAAGTGGCATGAGAAGCGTGAGAAACTGGGCGAGAGAGACGGCGGCCTTTTTAACGATGAGGACGATTTCGAAGGGGAGATATGCGAGTCTGAGGTTCGTGGATGTGACGAGTGGGTTCAAGTATTTGTATAGGAACGCGGGGTGATCTGGACGCATAGCCGTGCGTACTTCGAAAGTTGCGACAGCGAGAATGCCGAGGTAGCGCCAATACGCGCCATCAGTTAGGAACCCCAGAGCGTTTGCGCCAAACAAGAAAATGGTGAGAACGCCGTAATTAGTCGTCGCGGCAAGCAGCCCGTGGTTCGTGTAGTCACTGATTGTTGAGCAACGCTGGCAATTTTCTAAGATCCATGGGCCAAAGCGATCGTACGCGGAGCGCTTCGCGGGATCCAGGATAATATCTTTGGCATGCCTCAGGCGCACGTAGTAGTCGTTCGCCGTATCCCTATCCACATTCCTGCCAATTTTATCCGGGTGGTATTGGAGTGTCAACTTCCTGAAGTGCGTGTTCAAAGCGCTCTGGCTAACATCGATCGGTACGCCGAGGTCGTTATATGCGTTACTCCGGTGCTGGAGGTTGAAGTCGACCTCGTAGATGGTGAAGGCGAAGTACGCCGCATAAACGGCAACCAAAATATTCCGGCGATGCTTGATGAATCGTGGGGAGCCCGGCTGAGGTTTGGGGTCGCCGGCGCGAATAAAGATGCTGTAGAGGACTGTTTGCGCCCATCCTGCTGCCTGTGTCGCGTTAGACCTTTCTATGGCACATGTTGGAGGGCCAATGTACAAATGGTATTAGATACTGCCACACAAGGAAAGGTCCTATGAGGTCCCATGAAATAGCTAAATTCACCATGATGTGTAGTTACTGGTTGAGTAGTGTGTGAGTGTTCAAAGAACGAAAGCCAAGTGTCTTTGTTCAACAATCTCGGAACCGTTCCGAGTTAGCGCCAAGTCACGTGCACGCATCAATGCACGCAACCGACGTGGCGGATTTACCACGCAAAAACCTGTAGTTACAGTCATATGTAACCTGCAATTAATCGCATATCTCACTATGATTGCGTGTGTTTGCTTGGTGCTTAGTTAGACGACGTACTAGGAATGCGGGCAAATCAATTGAACCAAATCACCAGGTTGCAACTTGCCGTCAATGTTTGAGGCACATCATTCACGGGGATGGTCACTATCGAAGAAAGTGCAGGAAGAGAAGAATATAGTAGTGAAAAATCATTGATATTGGTTAGAACGACCTTAGATCAATCTATGGTATAATGCGATGCTATGCAATGACTACAAGAAACAACAAGAAATACTCTACTACTCAAGCCCGCGGCTCGATGTTTTCCCCCCATTAATATGTTCTCCGGCCTGGATCTGTTGACGTCTATGCGTCGGGTATATTCTCTCCAGGCATAATGCATAACAGCTGTCGGCTCGCCGACACGAAGGCGCAATGTAGCGCACGAATTCGTAATGGTTACGACCAGCGCTCACTCTTTCGCTCACAGAATGGAGTCGGTCTAAGCCTGAGCTCCTGCCTGGGGCATCAGCTTCTCTTCTTGGTGACGCTTCTCCTTCATTGATGCTCCTGTTGAACGGTTCTCAACATCGCTGTCAGAGATGTCGTATTGTCGTACAGCCTCGGCGATCTCTTCCTCGTTCATGGGAGGCAGTTGCTTAGCGGCGGTAACGTAGCTAATCTTCTCAGTGTATCCCTTGGCGAAGATCAGGTCAATCTCCTCAAGCGAGCGACCAGATGTCTCGGGGTAGAAGATGTAGATGACAGGAATGAAGCAAGCGTTCAGGACGGCGAAAAGGAGGTAGGTACCCCAGCTGATGCTGTCGATAAGAACGGGAGTGATCATGACAATGAAGAAGTTCCACAGCCAGTTGTTGATGGTGGAGAATGCGTTGGCCTTCTGGCGGGTCTTGAGAGGGTTGATCTCAGCTGGGTACAGCCAGGGGAGAGGAAGCCAGGTAGCTCCGAAGAAGGCAATGTAGGTGAAGAGACCAACAGCGGCACCCTTGGCAGGTCCAGTGCCTCCAGGAATCAAGCAGGCAAAGGTCAAAATCATAGAGAACATCTGACCGAAAGTACCGATGATGTAGAGCTTGCGGCGACCGACGCGCTCAATGAGGAACCAAGAGGTGCAGGCAAAGATGGCGTAGACAACCATGTTGATACCACCCAAAAGAAGGGCGAGGTTATGGCCGGTACCCAAGACCTGTTGGCAAAGAATAGGGAAGTAGTAGATGACAGCGTTGCACCCAGATAGTTGTTGCATGAACTGCGAGGAAGCACCGAGGATAGCACGGCGAAGATGCTGAGACTTTCCGTTTGTCAAAAGAGCCTTTGTGGGGACCTTTCCACCACCACCTGAGGCGTTGACGGCGTCACGGATAATCTGCATCTGGATGAGGACCTCGGGGTCATCACGGGGAACTCCGTTCAAACCAGCCAGCACGGTAGCAGCTTCGTCCTCGTGGTGATGGTTGAGCAGCCAACGAGGAGATTCAGGTAGTGAGATCATCATGATGATGACGATGATGGCGAAAATACACTGGAAAGCAATGGGGAACCTCCAGGTGAAGTCATCGGGGCCGTAGAGGCAGCCGTAGTCGATCCAGTAGGCGATAAGCGTACCAATAGCAACCATGGAACCTTCGATACAAATGACTTTACCGCGATTCTTGGCCTTGCAGCACCTGAGGAGTAATTAGTATTTTCTTGCAAATAAGGAATAACTGCACAACTTACTCAGCCTGGTAAGTGGGGATAGTCGAGGTGTTGATGCCGTTGCCAATACCAGTCAGGCATCGTCCGACGATGAACTGGGCTGTAGCACCACCCGACGGAGGTACAGTCGCGACTTGGATAATAACACCCACAATCATGACTGTGGCACCGAGGAATATACTCTTACGGCGTCCGAGCTTGTCACCGAAGATGAAGATGAAGCAGGCACCGAGGAAACAGCCAACAGCGTAGATGGAGACGACGAAGCCCTCGTACGTAGAGTTGCCATCGACTTCGGGGAAGGCATGTTTGAAAGCGGGCGCAGAGATGATACCACTCATGACACCCTGATCGTAACCGAAGAGAAGAAAGTCGGTAACAGCAACGATGGTGATAAGAACCTGCAACATCCTACCGGACTGGCCCCAGTAGGTGGGCACACCAGAGTCGCTCTCCTTGATACGTGGTGGCATGGCTGCTGTGTATCGATTGTAGCTGAAGTGTGGTGAGGAGATACTGGGGAGAGACGACCGTGGGGAGAGGGTGCAGCTTTAAATGATCATGCTCAAATCCGGCACAAGGGTCTTCGGCAAAAACGTGGTCCTCGACGTCTAACCATGGTCCACTTAAAGATACGCTACCGAGGTTCGTCTGACGCGTGCGGAAACTAGACAACGATTTTTTTCCAACATCTTGGCCTTGGCTGGTGTTGCTATACTGCGAGTTTTTGGGGGCTGGCGGTAGAGGCGCAAATAAACAGTGGAACCAAGACGAACCTAACAGGGTCTACGGGTGGAGTAGGCCAACATGGGCCAATCTTGGAGAAGGGCGGAGGACGCTTGTGCTCAATACGCTGCAACAAGCGCGCTCGGCACAGGATGCCTCTCCTCTTACTAGCCCGATGTTAACTCCACACTACGTCATGGGCTTTGGGGATGATGCTGGTAGCTGGGGGAGAGAGGCTTGTGTCGAGGGCTGAACGGTTGGCTCGCGTCCGGTTCCCAAGGTTGGAGCGGAAAGCCGATTTTTTCTTTCTTTCGCATACAGCGCCACACCGAGGCTCTGACGAAATATCAAAATGATGCAGGAACTCAGCGGTCGTGCAGATACCATCTCGGGCTACATGCCGCCGTCGATGAAATAGCGTCCTGAGTTGTCGCATGAGACACAGCAGTCTCCATCTCAACATGACAGGGTCTGACGTCATTTAGCCGGCGAGTTTGTGTTTGAGCTCCACATCCAAGATCATTGCCGGGCAAGATCTTCGGCCAAGATGCAGAGGTTGCAGAGCCGCATGTGCACGGTTGGTCAGTCCCTGCATGGATGAAGAAGCAAAGGCTTGCAACGGTGACGACTTGTTGTGATGAGCGGCTGCGCTACCCAACCCGTCGTGACAGAGGGTGCAGGGTGAATGTCGGGCAAGCATAGCGGTGACGACTACCGGCCGGGAGCAATATCACGTGCTATTCGGCAGCCTTCCCAGGTAGGAAGCCTCCCGAGGTCGTTTCCCCGCTCTATGCCAGCGTCACGGGTTTGAGTGTGCATGTGGTGTGTGTGTGTGTGTGTGTACGTCCAGGCCGGTAGCATGTGAGTAGGCAGATGTCTCGGCATCGTACCGCGCTCGGCACCGTTGGCATGCGCAACTACCTGAGTCGCTTTTTCGCCAATGCGGGACAAAATGCCAATGCAAGATGCCTAACAGCTGTCGGAGAGGATCGTGTGGATCAGTTTGCGGTTGAGCCTCTCGGGTCAGCGGTTCGCTGGCTTAGCGTGGGGAGGAGGCTGACATTATACGCTGATCCGGCTGGCCGAAAGAGGAAGGCCCGGCTGACGCGACTACCACCTCCAGTGTCAGAAAACCATACGCACACAAGAAGACGGAAAGACAGCAGTACCGCAACAAGAAATTCCCGAATTCAACCCTTTCCTCCATGAGATTTCCTTATCCGCTGACCCATTGTCCCCGCGACCCAACAAAATTTCGCTGATCTCCCCAGAACCCCATAAATCGGCAAGGAAATTGAGTCCCCGGGATACCACAGCTACGGAAAAGACGGCCCCCCTCATCGTTTACTAAAACACGCCAAATATCCCAGAAATAAGGCAAACCCACTCTGACAGCCTAAACAGCCCATCTTTGCGTCTTGCGGCACACACTACACCGCAACCCTAGTTTGTCACAGGAACCGCCGTCCAAGTACCATTACATGACGGGGTCTCCGCTTTATGCAAGAGCCTCATTGATAATCACAGTCCCACTTTTCAAAAGCAGACACAACCACCTCGTTGGACGCGGGGTCTTTCCCAAATCCACCAATTGTTGTTGGTGCATGCACTACAGCTTCATCGCACCTCCACCGAGTCGCTTTCATGATGCCCGATTGAGGACCATCGTGAGACCATCACCAGAACCCTGGGACTGGGGAAAACGGTCGTGGTGATAGTCATAAACCGTTGTTCGCACATGTTTGCACATCACTCAGCGCTGCCGTCTCCGCTTGACACGGAAACTATTTCAGTCGCTGGAAGATCCGCCGCGATACACCTGCGGACACAATTGCAGTCGCCGTGCCACATAGGGACATTTGCCGCGCTTGAATCAATACCGATCCGTCCCATGTGCCCTCCTTAGTCATCCTTTCCCCATTGCCACCCTTCAGGAGCTTCTTCCCAAAGTCCGATAATCTCATTCGGATCACGGCAGAGGAGGCTCATATGTGGAGATCCCACAATCTCCAGTTTCCGCTACTTCCCAACAGTTAGTCGTGTGTCCCGCCATTTCACTTGCCAAGCTCCCGAGCCATATCTCGATTATGGTTGTTGTTAGTAGTAGCCGCTAACCGACAAGCCGAGAAGCGACCGGGCATTATTGGGCTTGCGTGTCTGCCAATTTCCTATCCCTACCTCAACCACTTCCATCCGTCTCGGTAAGAGATTCAGGCCCTTCTCTGCTGAATCAGTTAGTTGGCCGGGTTACCTGCAGTGTGAGTATGTTGATCACCGAAAATAAACGTTCGGGCGTACTTTTCATATTCCTTCGGGTTCAAGCAGAAATTCATCGCCCCGTTTTCGAAAGAAAGGCTTTCTGGTTCCATTCATTTCGATTTCATCAACTTCAATAGGCGTAACGATGCACAAGAAACGATTATGGCAACACGATGTTACGCGGATCTGTATGTTGCTCAAAGTGGCTACTAGGCTCTAACAACTCCTCGATAGCCTCGCAAGCTCTTCTCATTCGTTCCAACTTTGTCCTAGCTGCTGGAACAGCTCCTTCGTGATCACATCCAAATTCCAGAAACATGGACGAACGTCTTCGAAAACACGCCGAGTAACCGCACAAGCAATGGCGCCGTGGATGTACAGCCTACGCGTATACTTTTCGTCCGAAACAGCCCTTTCAACAATCGCGTCCGCTTACTTCCCCATCTCTCACGTCAGTATGTGCAGGAAATCATTGAGGGAGTACCATGAACTTCAGTCTTGGTTGAGGATATCGGCAAGAGAGGTATAGCTGACGCAGCGAGGTATGGCGATGCAATTGTCCTAATCGACAATATCTGTCTCATCGCTTTCATCGTTGACTAGGATGGTTTGAGAGTCGAAGTCAGGATGGCGGCGGATTACGAAGGCCTCCTTTTCAGCAACGTTCGTTGGATCCTTCTTAGGGTTAGCGATGACGAAGTATATCGACGGTCCTGTGCCGAACGACCACTACATCCAACATTTTGATTCCGGAAAACTGGGCATCTATCTTCTGACTTCCACACCCAGAAAATCTTGCTATTCTCAATTGTCTCACGAGGGCAGACCTAGCTTGGCGGCTGTCGATCGTCCTCTACATGACCATGCCCTCGACATCACAAGACAGCGGTAACAGAGTCATCACCAGAGATGAGCGCATTGGTGTATCCTACCAGTCCGCTATAGTCGATGCTAACAACAGTTCCTTCACCGTCTCTGGTGATATGCTGTTGACTGTTGACAGCCACATGACTCCTATCGCCAGGCTCGTTGAGGACTGCCAAGGCAAATCTCGAATGGGATTAGTAACTGTGGCCATTTTGTCAGACTCCTCGGACCAGATGCGATGTGAGACTTTCCCAGATAACCATTAAAAGACTATACATGGGGCTCTGGTCGGAGACTCAGTGTCGAACGAGATAACAATGATGCCTAATATGTGTAGGAACGGATGTACTTGTGTAGAGCCAGTCTATCGGTAATACCTTATAGTGGAAGATTTTTCTTTCTCCAAGATTCCATCAAGCCTCAGCTCCGATCTCTAGAATATGAGTGACAAAACGCTCAGTGTGAGAGTCGATTGTATTGCTCTAGAGGAGCGATACCCCTATAATGGAATGGCTTAGCCTAGTCCATATCTCTGCTGGAAACATGACTGTGGAATCATAAATGCTGTAAAATGATTCTCATCTCGAAGATACTCTGCGGGGTAAGAAGATTGTTAGGCGTATCGCGGTTTGGCAGTAGTTAACGAGGGTTACGGGTTAGTTACAAAACCTTAGGTCTTTCCGTAGATTTTCATATGTTATTGGATTCGTTGAGACAGTTAAGGTTGAGCTTTTATAGTTGTGGTGGGTACTTCGACTATGTACTCTATGATTATAGTCAAATGAGGTCGAAACGTTATATTAGAGCTTTGGTTAGAATATGAAATCGATGGTTTTCTAGCTTTGTACGCAAAGGATGGTTATAGTAGAAATAACACTGCAAAAGACATATTACATGTTCTTACATCTATATAGGTTAAGATCCCCTATTGAACTGAAATTTTACATATACTACCCTTTATTCGATAGTTAACAGTAAACAGTTGCTTCCAACACGAACAAAGACAGCTTAAAGCGTTTCTAGTTTTTCACTCGAATCTATTACCAAGGATTTCCAAATTCAGCAGATCTTCCAATAAGCCAGTACCACCCGGGTAGCCACGTCTATCTACTTCAACCTGTCTGAAAGGTCCTGGTTAGGTCGCCTACAGACTCTAACGACTATGGTTACCTTATTATATTATCAACAGCAATAGATATAAGCTAAGCTGGGGGGGGGGGGGGGGGGGTTTGGATATATGTAGCTTTCTATTGCGTGATTCTGATTGCTAAAAACATGACATTGGTTAAGAAGGCTAAAACCCCTGTTTTCATCAAGACTACATCTGTAGGAGCAAATTGCAGAAAAGCTCAACGGGTGAAATTCTTTTGCTATCAGACGTAATGACCATGACGGTTTGGTCTCTAGATATCGGTGTACAGATATTGTGGAATTAGTCAAGAAGACCAGGTGCATGTTTGGTTAGGAACATTTCTGCAGTTCCTCTCAGCGTTCCTCACCGCAATAGCTCTCTGGGTTTTCCACATCCTATCAAGCCTTATGGAAGTGTAGAAGTAGAGTGTACTGTTCTATTTACGAGTCTTGAACAAGTCCTTCTCTTTATTGTGCACAGAATGTATATCGTAAATCGTAAGCAGGTGGCTTACTTTGTATGGAAGTACCGTAAATG